CCATGTTCCTCAGTATTGTTTAAGTGATTTTGATTGATCATTAAGATTCTTTCCAATGTATCCCAAGAAGAATGATTGGCCAGTGTTATTTGCTTTCTGGGAGAGGGTCAGTGACCCTTTCTGGTGCATTAAGATTACTCCTGGAGTCTCAGCTCTAGTTATCTTAGCTTTAGCTGTGTGTGAGCCATGTGGAAGAGTGTTCAGTGACCCTCTGAGCTCTCCTGGTTCCCTTCCCATGTTAACTCTGAACACTTGTTTTCCTCCTTAGAGACAAGACCCTGTGTCCTGGGACGCTGCCTTCGTGAATATTTCCAAAAGTGTGCTGGAGACCAGATACACACTGCTGCCCTACTTCTATACCTTGATGCACAGGGCCCACACAGAGGGCGTCACTGTCGTGAGGCCTCTTCTCCATGAGTGAGTGTCCAGGGGGACCCTGCTCACTAATGCATGAGTCCTTCCATTGTGTAAGAGAGTAGTGAGTGCAGACACTTTCTTCATTGTATTCTATTTTGCCATAACTTCTGTAAACAGAGACAGTACTTTTTTGTTTCGCAAAGGATGGTATACACCACAGGGCAGAGATCGGGCATATTAAATGACAAATTTTATGAAATTATACAATGCAGAATACCACAATTTTTATTTATTTTGTCAGGGAAAGACTTCAACTATGTTTTGTATCTTTGTGGTTATGTCAAATTGCACTAAACTATATCCAGAGCACAAAGCAGGCATTCTACCAAAGATGGGAGTGAAGAGGGCTCCTCTTATAGTGGAGTGTGCACAGTGAGGAGATGTTCTTCTCAAGTTTGGGGAACTTCGAGTGTGGAAGAGTGCGGGCTGTGGAAAGTGGGTGTGGGGGCCCTTCTGGAGCCTGGGAAGCGGTGAGGATGGCAGAGGATGCACTGCATTTGTGACTTGGACTTGGACGCAGGGAGCTCCCTCAGGGGCTTTGATCTGGCCATGTTTGGGCTCTGATTGTGGCTCCTTTCCTTCCTTCCAGGTTTGTGTCAGACCGGGTGACCTGGGATGTGGACAGCCAGTTCCTGCTGGGCCCAGCCTTGCTGGTCAGCCCTGTCCTGGAACTTGTGAGTGTGGAGGGCCGTGCTGGGTAGGGCATCCCAGCTGCAAGGCCAGGCAAATCGGGCAGGGAAGCCTGCTGCGTGAATGATTCTGAGACTTTTTTTTTTCCTTTTCTACTCTTATGGTTCTTCTCCTGGGCAGAAATCCATCAGTTAAGGTGCTCTTGAATCAGCCACTTCTTCTGTAAAGGCACCTGAACAATTCTAGTTGAGAAAATCAATGTATGACAACATTCTGATATCTTTGAGCAGGTATCATCTCTCCATTGTCTGAAATAAGGAGCACAGGTTCAGGCAGGGCAGTGTTGCAGTGTGTTCATTGCAGCATCCTGCCGCTGTGAAATCTGAGCTTTCCAGGAGCCGGATCTGCAGCTCTTTGTGTTGTGGCTCATGGCAGTATGTCTCCCTCTCCTTCCATAAAAGGTCCTCTGAGCCACAGTGCCCAGTTTGTTACTTCCTCTGTAATGATCTTGCTCCTGATTAGCATAGCAGCAAATGGCATCCTGCTCAGGTCTCATAGTACGGCATTGTTTTTTCTACTCAGGCATTTTTCTCTGAAGAGAGCTATTGATATGTGTGATGTTCCTGAGGCAGATTTTTTCCCTTGATGTCCCTGATCTGAAAGGGTTTTACAAAACCATTTGTTTTGGTTAAGCACATTTCCCCTGTGTAAAAAAGTAAGAGGAATAGAAAGCTTCTTCATCATTGCTAATCTCTGTATGTGATCAAGTGGTCCCAAGAATACACTGTGGTTTTTTTCTCTTTCTATGTGCATGGTTTCTCTATCCTCCATATAACAGAGCCTGTGGCCCACACATTGTTTCTGTTTAATTTCAGAATGCCAGAAATGTCACTGCATATTTTCCTGGAGCTGTCTGGTATGATTACTACACTGTAAGTTTTCTACATGTTTGTACAACTTGGGGAAATGATACAGTTCCAAGGCTTTCCATGTGACAGTCCTCCTGCTAAAAGCTGGCTGTGAAAGCCACCTGGTGTGTTGTCTGGCACAAGTCAGTTTAAAGCATTTAGTCTTGCCTTTCTTACCTGTAAATGGGGAAGGCTACTTCTTCACAGAGTTGTAAAGTAAGTGTGAAGCTTTTCTCACAGGGCCTGGCTTTTGGCGGGTACTCTGTACAAGTGAGTCTGTATCTTTCCTTATGCCATCACTATGCCTTGTAGTAAAACACTAGCATCTCTTGATATTGTGCTATAAAACATAGTCTTTGTTCATATCCTCTCTTGCTAGCAGCTCCTAAGTATTGAGTGGTTTTATCTTTCTGTCTTTTTATTAAGCCTGCATAGGTAGCATAGATGCACAAAGAAGGGTTGTTCCATGTAGGCATGAAATCTGGGTGCACAGTAATGCAGAGTGTAACATGCACTCAGATGTGTTGGGGCCTGAAACCTGCAAGTCTAATGAGTACATTTACACATGAGAAACCCACAAGAACTCTGCTGTGTAGGCTTTTGGTTAGTGTAAGGGCCCAAGGGCAGCTGGGAAAACAGGGCCTTTGGACAGTTTAATTGAGACCTCTTGAGGGACACAGATAAATCAGAATATGATTTAAGGGAATAAGCAAAATGAGTGTCCCGGCCCTCTACCTAGTGATGACCTTCTGTTCTGGGAGGAGAACGATGTGAAGGACTAGAAGGAAATATGGCAGCAAGACAAGAACAGAGTATTGAAAAGAATTTGGGTGGATTGGGTCAAACCTGGACAAGGATGACAGCCATGGAGTTCCTCTTTTTCTCTGTTGTGTTGAGCCTGGAGTCTCCCTCCACCCCCACATCTCCTTTCTTTGGGAGCTGGGACTATACTTATTGTGATAATATGTTAAGGATTTTTCCTGCCAGAGCTTTTTGGGGATAATGCAGCCAGCAGATTTTGGTCCCTGACTTGCGTGTTGATTGTGTTATTCTAAGAGGCAGACCTTTTGAATATTGGGCTTCTCTTGTGCATGGTCTGGGATATATTACAGTAGTCAGGAGCCAGGGGCACACAGTTTAAGGAGATGTCCCACTGTAAGACTGGCCTTCCACTTGCAGATTTTGGGAGCGAAGGCCTTCTTACATTTTATGGGTTTCATTTCTTCCACTCTCATTCTGGTCTCAGCTTTGTTCAGGTGCAAAACTACTTTATGGAGTTCCAGGCACTGGGTTAGTGGAAATATTTACATATAACTTTGCTGTGCACTAAGTGGCTAGTGTTGGCTCCTCATAAAACTGAACACATATGGAAGTGATTACTTATAGCACAGGAAAGAAGTGAAGATGAGAGCTAATGAAGAAGTTTCCTGGAATGGCCAAGTTTGCACAAGGCTTTTAAATAAATGATATTTTTATCTGAAGAAAGAAGGCTAAAAAATCATGTGGAATGACAAAAGTTGATGGGGATACCATTTAGAAAAAAATTTTTTGATGCCTGATAAAAATAAAGCTAACATGGCTGAAATTAATGAAGAAAAGTTTGATTAACTTTCACAAATACAGGCACCTAGTGTTCAGTCTCAAATAGATACTGCTAAATTATGGCCTAGAGCCCAATCCAGGCCTAAAGTAACAGTTCTCAAGTGGGGAGATTTTGCCTACCTAGGAAAATTTGGAAATGTCTGGAGACATTTTTGCTAGTTTCAGTGGGAAGGGTGGGATTGCTCCCGGTATCTAGCAAGTAGACACTGAAGATAATGCTAACCATGAAACAGCACAGGCAGTTCTCATGACAAAGAATTATCCAGCCCTAAATGTCAGCAGTGTCATCAGTGAAAAACCTGTCTGTGGCTTGGAAGATATAGGAGAATGGTCCCTTAAGAACTAGGTTTATGCCTCAGGTGAGAGAGTGCTTTTCACACCAGAGACAAGAGAAAACCTTCAAACATAGAGGCATACATATTACATTAAAAATAAGGATATATAAAGTAAGCTAGTTCACTTTGATCTTTGCAGCAAGAATCAGTGGGCGCGGCAGGGGTGGGGTGGTGAATAGAGATGCAGACTTAGTAGACTTCAGTGAGAGAAGGTCTAGCAGTGCTGCTGTGGAGCTCACCAGGGGCCAACCAGGAGAGAACAAAGATTGCCCAGCCTCTTCCAGCAATGCTATGTGACACCGAAACAGGCTGTTTCGTGAAGGTCGGCTTTGTTCTGTGCTAGGACATCATGTAGTGGGTGCAGGAAACCCCAAAGGGATGGAACACTTACAGAATGTGACAGCCAGGTGTTGCACAGCACCAGCAGAGTGAGTGCAGAGAGTGTCCTACCAGGTATGTCCTGAGAGATGATCAGTGGGCAGCTCTGGTAGGTAGACAAGATGTCTGTAAATGCCCTGGTGCAGGAAGTTTGCATCCTATCTCTAATCCCCTCCTTTCTTTCTGCTCATAGGGTGAGGACATTAATGCAAGGGGACAGTGGAAGGAGCTGCCAGCCCCACTGGAGCACATTAATCTTCATGTGCGTGGGGGCTACATTCTGCCCTTACAGGAGCCTGCGCAGAACACTCACCTAAGGTGAATGATGGGCCAGGGCTGTGCTTCACAAGCTGCTTAGCTCAGTAGTTTGCAGTGAAGGCCTCCAGCCCCAAGTGTCATGTCCAGTACCCAAAAGCAATTTTACTCAAGCCTTGGTTTTTATTTTTGTATCTGTTTCAACCTTTCCCAAAATGGGTCTTTTATAACTATCTGTTGAGGGGAAGATGCTGCATTACCATGTGGAGCATTTGAAATTTCATGGAAACATTAGCAAAATTCTCGAAATTCTAGCACTTTTACTTACTTGTATTTTGTTTTGCACAGCCGGCAGAATCCTCTGAGTCTCCTCATTGCCCTGGATGACAACAAAGAGGCGAGAGGGGAGCTGTTCTGGGATGATGGGGAATCAAAAGGTGAGTATGGTACTGAGAATATTGCAGCTCCAAAACCTTCACCCTTGACCTTTAGTCATTCACTCCAGTGGTCACTGGACTGATGTAGAAACTTCCCCAGGCCGAGCAGCAAAGGTGAGCTGAGTGAAGATTTTGTTGCTTTATGTAGGGCAGTGATGATAGACAAACCACTGACCCAAGGATAAAAGTTTTCTACCTCTCAGTTTCTTCTGTTACCTAGTGATCTACAACAGGCTCTCATTTAGTGGCCAGTGGGAAGCTGGAAGACATATTTTCAAGACCTGCCATAACCATCCTTAATGTGAATATCTTATTTCAAAATACTGATGAACAAATATTCATGCCAAAAATACCTGTTAGGGTAGCAGTGAGAATATAATTTTGTGATGTGTATACAAATAACCATATTTGCTAACACATTTTTCTGGGTCTTTTAAACTTACAATTGTGGTTGTTGTTTAGAAGGAAATAGATTGTAATGTAGCACATACCTTTGTAGTGCTTGGGAGGGAATCTTTTGAAGGTTCTGGTAAGAAGGAAAGGGAAATGAAGAAGTCGGTCTTGGAGACTCTGTTCATAATCTATTGTATTCTCAACATGTAAATTTGAGAAAACATTTATTTTACTTAAAATGATTTAATTGAGAAAGAAAATCTGAACGTATCCAAGACACCACCATATACACATACTATGTTTCACGACACATCCACCACATTTCACCACCACAACCCATTCTGTACACAAGGTCCCAGAACCTGTTCTTCTGGTTGGGTATTTGCACCCTCTGACCAGCATCTCTCCATGTCTTCAGTTCTTTCCCTGAGCAACTTCTGTTCTGTACTGTGCTTCTATCAGTTTGACTTAACCCCCAGACTCAAAATATAAGTGTAATAACATATTATTTCTCTTTCTGTGCCTGAGATAGTTCACTTAACCCAATGTAACGTCTTCTTTCAAACTGTCACAAATTGCAGACTTTCCTTTTATGGCTAACACTCATTTGTAATATGTACCATAACTTCTTTTCAAATCCACCTGCTGGAGGAAACTTCAATTGTTTCCACATCTTGGCTATTGTGGAAACTAAATGAAAGACTTAAAGATAAAAGCTGAAACCATAAATCTCCTAGAAAAAACATAGGGAAAAGCTTTTTTTACATTGGTTTTGGCAATGTTTTTTTGATATGACAGCAAAAAAATGGTCAGCAAAGGCAAAAAGTAGACAAATTACAACTACATTAGACTAGATAGTTTATGCAAAGCAAATTGAACTGTGAAAAAAATGTAAAGGCCACTTAAAAAGTAAAAGAAACATGTAGAAACTGATCTGATACAGAATTACTATTAAAAGAATAAAGAACTCTTTCATCTCAATAGCAAGAGAATAGGTAGCATGAATTAAGATGGAGAAAACATGAGCAGATGTTTTCCAAAGACCATTAAGCAACACATATATGAAAAGTTGCTAAATATCACTACTTAGCAAAGGGATACAAATAAAGAATTGCACTTGTTAGGATGGCAATGATGAAAAATATAAAATATAACAGATGATGGCAAGAATATGAAAATTGGATTGAGCCCACCATATTGGTAGCAGTTCAAATCAATAAGGCCATTATGAAAAACAGTGCAGAGGTTCTTCAAAATATTAAAAATAAAACTATTATCCACTATTTCCATTTCTGAGTTTGTATCTGAAACAAATCAGTATGCCAAAGGAATACACCCACTCCCATGTTCGTTGGCATTATTTAGATACAAAAATAACTACAATACAGAAATAAGCCGAGTTTCCACCAAAAGGTAAATAATGAAGTCTGGATAAATAGTTACAGTGGACTATCATTCAGTCATAAAAAGGTAAGAAGGCCTGTCACATGTGGTTCTAGGTGTCAGTCCTGAGGTCAGGCAGCTGAGATGTGCCCTCCTGTGGACTGGCCCGTCTGACTTGTGTTTCTTCTGCTTTTAGATACTGTGACTAAAAACGCGTATCTCTTTTGTGAGTTTTCTGCATCCCAAGTAAGTAGCATTTCCTAGGAGTCCTGGGCATTGGCCTTGGTCTGATCATTTTCGCACATATGCTTGTGCGTGTGCATGGTCATGTCTGTAACTTGGTGTGCACTAGAGACCACAGGCAAACGTTTCCATTCATGACTGAACTCAATCACTGCAACATGAAAGCTGTATATTCAGAAATCAAAGCAGCTAGTGTTCTAAATACAATTTTCTAAAATAAAGTTTGTCTGCATGATCCTGCTTCTAGTTGTTCCATCAGAGTTTACTTAAAATAAATTTGTATTGCTTTTCTTTTATTAATTTTATTGAGAAACAAGTAGCAATGAGACAGTTTCAAAACCGATTAGTAGGACAGTTTCAATAATTAATGTTGCATATTGTTGTCTTTGTAGTAATTATTCATAGTACAAGAAGCAGACATGATATCCTGTCTAAACACTATTAGTATGAATCTTTCTTATTGAATTAAGAGAAAGTAACTGTATATCTATCCTATTTTGTATATACACATACAAAATGGTCTTTCATTTGTATCACCTCTTTTGTTCAGTTTGGTCAGAGATGGGTACTCCACCAGTGGCAAGTTTGTATTTCTTGGGCACACTTAGTAGAGAAAGCAGAGACCCTGAGAACAATGGGGAAGATCTGGCACTGCCTGAAGCACTTGAGTGATCAGAGAACCCTGTGCATTGCAGGCAAACCTTTGTGCTTAATTGTTTGCAGAACCGCTTGTATGTGAACATTTCTCAGTCAGCCTACAAGGACCCCAGTAACTTAGCATTTCAGGAGATCAAGATACTCGGGACACAGAAGCCTACCAATGTTACAGTGAAACACAATGGTGTCCTCACTCAAGCATCTCCTAAAGTCACCTATGATCTTAACCTGAAGGTAAAACTGCATTTTGCTGAGGTGTTCATTTTAGTGTTCTCCATTACATTATGGTGTTCTTTCCTGTCAAAGTTGCATGGATTTTTGAAAGAGTACTTCCTGAGGTGGGGAAGTCAGGGTTGGGAGAGAAAATGCAAATGAGGAGCTGTCCAGAGCAGAGTGAGGCAGGCAGGCAGCTGCTGAGAATCGGGCTGGGGTAAAATGGCCTTTCCATCCTTGCTGTCTTCTCTGCACCTGGGTGTTCTGCACTCTTCACTGCTGTCCCTTCCAGGAAGTAGTTCTGAGGGGCACAAAGAGAGCAGGGTGTGGAAAGTGAGGACTGACCTGAGGCCAAGGGATCTGGACACTTATGGGAGATGCTGACAGGCAAAGGTGGAGGAAGTTCCATGAACTGGAAGTCTCCTGTATTTTAAATACAATACACAGACTTTCATTCCAATATGTACATTCTCAAGAAATACTTTAAGACAAAGAATTTGGTAATCCTCTCCAAGGACTGCTTCTTTGATTAGATGATAATAGCATAATAAATTTTCATCAGCTGTAATGAGTTCTTTTCTTGTGATCCACTTATCTGATACCTTAACATTATGAAGACTTTCCCCAAATAATCCTCATCATTGTATTCAGGGGCTCCTGGTATCAGAGCTATTGGGCTTGAATCATTTCTGAGTGTTCTCCTAGATGTGAGAAATCTAAGCAGTTAAGATTACTTTAATAGTAAGCTGAATATGCGCACATTATAATGTTAGTGATAAAGTTCTTTGTTTAGTTATATCGCAATGATCAAGACATATGTATATGTAAAAACAAACTCAATCCTTTTTAGTCAGATAAATTAATTAACATAGAACAAAATTAGCTCTTACCATGTTTGAATTTGGGTGGAGGGGGCCATAATTTACCTGAGCAAAAACATTGCAAAGTGGCAGGAAATCAAAATGAATATAGAGGAAATGTTGTCTTATTTGATATTCAAAGTTCAGTGGCATTATTAAGCCAAGCATCTTAGATTAGACAAGGCTAGAGTTGGGCCTTGAAAGATGGAATAATGAAGTGGTTTTGAAAATTTTTGGCTGCAAGTGGTTGGGAATGTCAAATGGTAACAAATTAGGAAATGTTTTTATTCTGCAATTCCAAGATTAGAACACAGCCAAATGCTACCATTGATTCAGTGCTTTAGAGTTCCCAGCATTGGAATCTTCACCTGTTTTTCTGTTTGTTTGTTTGTTTTTGTATTTTAGGGAAGGATCTACAGAGTGTTCAGGGTCTCACTACTAGAACAGACTCCTAGTGATCTGCCTGTTTACAGGCTCCCAAAGAGGGGGGATTACGGTCATGAGCCACCACACCCAGTCTCAATTGCCGTCTCAGCATGCCCCAGGGGCAGGGCTGACACGTCAGGCCCCAGGTTTGAACCCCTGGCCCCTGCGCCTGCTTGCAGGTGCTTTAATTTGCTGAGCTATTTGGCCAGCCTATCACCTGTTGTTGAAAATGAGTGTTTAGTTTCATTCACCACAGTCCTGATATAGGAAAAATAAAAAAGATAAAAAGAATCAAATTGGTAAAGAAAATGGGTCAAGCCTTCAAACTGAGAAAGGGTTGTTTGATCAGAAATCCCTAGTGCACTTGAATTTGCCTTTTCATGGCCATCGTTCTAATATGTTCATTGAAAATTACCCATTTAAACTGGATGGGTGGCAAGGGCTGGTCAAATAGCTCAGTGGATTAAAGCGCCTGCAAGCAGGCCAGGGCCTAGGGGTTTGATTCCCCCCCAGCTTTCCAGCCCCACCCCTGGGGCATGCTGAGATGGTGATTGCCACTGGATGTGGTGGCGCACGCCTGTGATTCCAACACTTGGAAAAGCTGTAAACAGCAGAATCACTATGAGTCCAATCTAGTAGTGAGACCTTGAACACCCTGTAGACCCTTCCCTAAAAATAAAGAGAAATAAACAAACAAAAAAACTGAGTGGGTGGCACAAGTCAATAATTTCAGTACTTGGGAGGTCCCGGAAGAATTACCACCAATTTGAGGCCAGCTTGAACTACATACTGAGTTCAAGGCTAGCCTCAACTACATAGCAAGACATTTCTCAATAAAACAGAGAAGCAAAAAGTAATTAACTGGGTGCTTTGTTAGAAGAAGGAAATATTTCATTTGTTCTGTGAAGTATGACCTTGCAGGAAGTGGGGGTCGAAGACGGGATTAGTCACACAGGGAAGAGCAAGATGATTTATAGTAGAAGATTTGAAGAAGGATGCAAATCATCCAAATGTGTTTGTAGTGGTCCTGACAATGAGAACATTACAGAAAAGGCTACTTAATGAAGACCAATAATTTATATGTAAAAATGTGAAACATGAAAAATGAGATAATTGAACTAGTATGGGGGATTCAGGAAAAATTTCCAATTTTTACTATTTGGGTTTGGAGAAATAAAGAAGCTAGAAGTTAGAAATGATAGGAAATATTATGATTTATCTAACTTGCCAGTGTTTCAGTTTATAAAACAAACCCAAAGAATTTAAACAGTCCGTCTAGGATTCCATACCAAAATAGGAATCAGATCATGGTCAGAGATTCTAACATGTTGTTCCACCAATGCAGACCAACAGGGACACTGGTTGGGAAGTGAAGGGAAGGAAGACAGCTCAGTCTGGGAGGAGCTGACTAAATAAAGAAGGATAAGGGGGGACAAAGGAGAGAAAAGGGGTGATTACTGCAGCCTTTATTCGACTCACTTCTTGCTAGAATGTAGTGTACAAGTGTTGACAGAGCAGTGACATTTGCTGTGTTGCCACTGACCTGTTCCTCTACCACGCACACAGCTCTGTTCATACAGGTGACAGCAGCATGTTCATTGGATTGGTGAGAGCCTAGTCACTTTTATTTGTTTTATTACAAAAAGTTCCAGACTTGCAGGGCCTTTGTCTTGAGGATGAATTTCCCTGTGACTTCTCTGTTCCTACAGGTTGCCATTATCTCAGAAATCAGTCTTGTCCTGGGAGAAGCATATACGGTGGAGTGGAGCACAAATGTAACAAATGAAGAAAAAATAGACTGCTACCCCGATGAGCATGGAGTTTCTGAAGCAAACTGCACTGCCCGCGGCTGTGTCTGGGAGGTGAGCACGCTGCGGGTGTCAGTGCTCGCTGAAATCCTCTACTCTGCATCTACAGTTTCGTGGAACCATTCACAATCCAAAGAAAAGGCTTCCAAATGAACCTGCCCTGGGTGCAAGAGTAGTTATCCATGTTTTTAATAAGTGTTTCCTTCAGAGATCAGTAAATTAAATTTCTGCCACTACCGTGTGATACCTAAGTAACAATGTGAATGGTGACTTTGTTTACATGTAAATTGCCTTTTCTGTCAGTATTTGGTGACACTGGGACCCTATACTGATCTGTGATATTGACTTGTTATTTCAGGAATCTAGTTCTCCTGGGGTCCCCTACTGCTATTTTGTCAACGATTTGTACTCTGTCAGCAACATTCAGTATTCCTTGCATGGAGCCAGCGCTGACATCCACCTGAAGTCTTCTCTTTACACCAGCGCCTTCCCCTCCACCCCTGTGAGCCCCCTCCGCCTGCAGGTGACTTACCATAAGGATGAGATGCTGCAGTTTAAGGTAAATACAGTATATATATTAGGTGCTGACACAGTATTTGGATCCACTTTTCTTTATTCCCAGTATTGAGGCTTACACCCTGGTTCTTGGCACAGATATACATCTGTATCCTGTATTTCGTATTTTAAATTTAAAATGGGATCATGCAAAATCATTCAGTTGACTAGACTGAGCTCAAACTTTTTATACTGTGCCTCAGACTCTTAAAATGCTAAAATTGCAAGTGGCTGGGGAGACAGCTTGGTGGCATAAGTGCTGGCCTGGCAAATGCAAGGTTGTGAGTTTGATCTCCAATATCAAAGGAAAAAAAAAAAAAAGAAATTATAGACATTTGCAACCATACCAAGCCAGTTTACTCTTTTAAATTTGGTCTTGCCATTGAATAGATTCTAATCTTAATACAAAGAACAGTGAGAAATGGTTAATAGAAACCTGTGAAGTGTGCTAATTTGCACCTGGAGACATTGTGGTAGTTACTCTAAGGAAAATAGCTGGGAAAGTGCGAAATGGAGAGGACAGTTAGAAGCCCTCCTCTGGGCAGCCGGTGAAGGATTGTTGCTGTTATGTTTGCATCCTCACCAGAGCAGGGCTGGGTTTGGAACCAGCGAGCCTGCTGGGCCTCCCTTTAATCCTGTTTACTCTGCCTCTTTCCAAGTCCAGTTTTATGCTCCATCCTTTGTCTCTCTTGTTTCTTTACCAAGAGGACACAGCCTCATTTTGTGTTTGGCTAATGGCTGCAAAACTTTAAGATTCAGTGTTTATTTTTCTCAGTGTCAGTTTCCCAGAAAAAGTATTCTTCCTATAATCCCACAGCACTTCTACATAGTTCTGTATTAACTCATGTCACCAGTGTTGTGACTGACTCTCTTCACTTCAAATTAAAATATTTAGGGGCTGGGGAGATGCAGGCAAGCGCAAGAGTCTGAGTTCAATCCCCGTTCCGCAAAAAAAATAAAATTAAATTAAAAATAAAAATAAAAAAATAAATATTTTTTAAAAATAAAATAAAATATTTAATTTTCAATTTAATAACTTTGATTAAATCATTTTAAAATGTCCAGTATAGTATGGAACCAGCTATATAGTACAATTAGGAAATCAATTTATATACATTTTTCAGCAAGGATATTAATTTAGGTAATTCATGCTTTGTGAGGGAATATTTCACTTCCAAATAGTTCTGAAGTGTTCACATAGTCATATATCCACACACAAAAATGAATATATTCATAATTACCACAGTGAATTGTGAGTATATTTTAAGGTAGTGCTGATATCAAAGTGAGACTGTTATTATGTTAGAGGGCTAAAATGTGGTATAATACATGTCATTCAAAATGTTAAATCTAACATTATTCGTTGATATGCTAATTAAATCCAAGTAGTGAGAGATTACAGAAAAAAATAACAACAAAAGATAGTGTCCAGACTCTGTCAAAAATGTCAACATCCTGTGAAGTTATAGATTTCAAGAGTCCTGTCATTGAATAAAAGACATTTAAAAATTGACGGTAATGGCTGTATATCTGTATAGTGTATAGTGGGATGTTTTGATCCTTTTATATATTATAAACTGATCAATTCATGGTATTTAGATTATTCATTTCAGATGTATTTTATTCCTTTAAAATGAGAACATAAAAATCCTGACATCTAGCTATTTTGAGCTCCATGAAGGGATACCATTAACTATAATCACTGTCTTTATAATAGAATAGCAGAATATTTTCCCCTTATGTACCTTATCAAAATTGAATTTATTTTCCCTAGATTTATGACCCCAACAACAATCGCTATGAGGTTCCTGTCCCACTGAACATACCTGAGATTCCATCCAGCACCTCTGAGAGTCGACTCTATGACGTCCTCATTAAGGAAAATCCATTTGGGATTGTGGTTCACCGGAAGAGTACAGGCACTGTCATGTAAGTGGCTCCTACTCTGGGCTGGAATTGCTGGTCACCTCCATTTTCTTTGTCAGCGCTTTGTGCTTAGATATATCCTGGTTCAAATTACACCGCTGTTCATTTCCAGATTGATGAATAAGTCATTTTCTTCAGGTCTCTTTCTATGAGCCCAAGAATAATTGCTGAGGCTGTTATATGTTCCTGGGAATTCATCCAACTTATAAATGTGTATAGGGTACCTTCGGTGTGTTACATACTGTTTTATGCTGGGAGGACTGAAGGGGTTTCAGAATGCCTCTCACAATGCCAAAGATAGTTTAATTATAATCTACAGAGGAAGTTGTGTAGTGATGAATTCCTAGTAGGAAGAAGAGTAGATTAAATAGGAATTGTCAGGGATTTCTGCTTTTGATACTGTGGTCATCAGTGGTCTCTAGAGAGGTGACATTTGAAATAACACTGGATATGGAGAGGGACGGACCCACATGCACTTTGGAGGAGGGAAAGAAAATAGTTTAGATAAAGAGAGTAATAAATGTGTAGGTTACTCAAGAGAGCAAACTTGGCATTCCAGTAATAAAAAGGCCTAAAGGATTGCTTGGGAAGCCAGAAGTCAGTCCCACGGGGAAGTACGAGGTGGAAAAGAAGCTGGCATGGTCAGTGGATTCAGCTCAGGTACAGCTTTAAAGAGCATGTGTCATATTTTCATTAGAGGCCACTGAAGAATGTAAATAGAGGAATGGCATGATACAAGGCTGCTTTAGAAATATCACCAAGCAGCATGAGGGGATGGAACATCACAGATCAAGAGTGGAAGGCAAGGCTGGCATGCAGAGTGGCAGATAAGAGGGTGGGCAATGACTGACTCTGGTGTTGTGGGGCGAGCAGCGAAAGGAGGCAGTGGTAGAGAATGCAGAGGAAGGAAGGCTGACTGCTAGATTCCAGCAAGGACAGCCGTGTTCTCTTAGCCACGTAGAACTTGTATTGTACTTGGGAGATGAACTGGGTCCACTGGCAGGAGGGAATCAACAGTGCTGTTATCCTTGGAAAGTCAGTTGCGCATAGTCAGTAGGAGAGCTAAAGTTCTCCCCAACCCACCTTTTCTCCTCACAGCTGGGACTCGCAGCTCCTGGGCTTCACCTTCAATGACATGTTCCTCCGCATCTCCACCCGCCTGCCCTCCTCCTACATCTATGGCTTTGGGGAAACGGAACACACAGCCTTCAGGAGAGACCTGAACTGGCACACGTGGGGCATGTTTTCCCGAGACCAGCCCCCGGGGGTATGCATAGGATGAGTGGGATTGTGTCTGCACCTCTGTCTACCTACCTGTGTGTGCTTTGTGCTTTGTCTGCCCTGGTTTGATTTGGGTTGTTGCATTGTGCTCATAAACAAGTGGGCCCATGTCTCTTCACCTTTCTTTCTCCTGTGTTTAACTTATTTATCAGAAAAGACAAGGTCCATCTTAAAAAACATATTAAATTTCGTAATCAGTCACAATGTGTTCTATCCTTACTGCCTTTTCCCCTGTGTCTCTCAGTACAAGATGAATTCCTATGGTGTCCACCCCTACTACATGGGACTGGAGGAGGATGGCAGTGCCCACAGTGTGCTGCTGCTGAACAGCAATGCCATGGGTAGGTGGTGTCAGTGCTTCCTTTGTTTGAACACCAGCTGGTCTTGAACAATGTTAGAATATCTGTGACCTCGCTGCCCTTGAAGTCATACTTACTATCTTGGGCTGCAGGTTTTGTTGTTATTGTTCTGTTTTACATTCTATTTATTTAATTCCAGTGACAAGTAATAATAAGATAACTCTTTGTTGGTAAAAATCACATAGGAAAGGAAAACAAAACTGAGTTACTTCCAAATATCCTACAGGTCAGCTAGTTAGAGGAACTACCTAACTTAAATAATTGGTGAATCTATGAGCAAATGCACTTAATTTTGGGATATGATGGATGAGAATTTGTGTGGTGTGTGTAGGGAATCAGTGGACAATCAGGATGTAGCTAGGAAATGATGACTGTGTACAGGCCATAAGGAGTTAAGGGTATTTTGTCATTGCCAGCCTCCTGTGTGATAGCACATGCTAGTTAAATAAGAGACTTACTCAGGAAAACCTGAGGGTTGTGTATACCTGAACTCTCAGTTGTCTTCAACTTTTTGTGAATTATAAACTATTTTTAAATATGTTATAATAATTTTTAAGAGCAAAATTGCAAAAAAAAACCCAAAAAACAAAACAAAAAAACAAAAAACAATGTGGACTACCACAGGAGAAACATTAAGGGGTAAGAACTGTGAATGATCACTTCACTTGCTTAATTCTTATGTGTAATATACAGAATACCTACTCTGAATACTGTGTGAGGAGAAATATGAATGCCAGAGCTAATTCCTCATCATGAAAGTTTCCAGTCGGTTGACATTTTCTTACCTTCTCAGATGTGACGTTCCAGCCTATGCCTGCTCTGACATACCGCACCACGGGGGGAATTCTGGACTTTTACATGTTCTTGGGTCCAACTCCAGAGCTTGTCACTCAGCAGTACACTGAGGTAGAACCATGTTTTTGCTTACAGAGTATTTATTCAGCCCCTTCTGTGTTTTAAAGGCTACAATCATTTGTGTAAACATCACATGATGAATGGAATCATTATTCTTCCTCAGAGACAATATATTTTGGAGTTGTAGAAGTACACTGAATAGCCATTAAATTCATGGGCTCTACTTATTGTAGAGGGGTATAAGTAGTCATGCTAACATTGGTAGTGAAAGGTAGTGGAGGGTGCATTACTCTGGTAATAGTCATGCTGGCCATAAGGGTGGAAGGCCTGATTGTAGTGGCTGTGGGTGTGGAGGGAATGGTGCTAGTCTTGGTGATGGAGTAGCAGGGAAGTGGTAGTGGTGGTGAGGCGATAATGCTGATGGTGATGTTGGGAAATGTGGCGATGATTTGGAGGGTGATGGTAACATGGTGGCTGTGGTGAGGCTGTTGGTGACAATGTTGGTAGTTGTAGCAGCAGCAACAAGTGCTTACGTAATTACTATATCCAGTATTCACTGCATGTCAGAATACTTCATATATTCTCATTCCATCTTCTTAAAAATCCTAGACAGATGCTACTATTACCTCCAACTTACAGATAAAGAAACCAAAGTGCAAAGCAGTATATTCCTTTCCATCATGTCATAGTTAGTAGATATGGAGCTGTGTGCACCTGATCTCTCAGTTGTCTTCAACCTTTTGTGAATTATAAACTATTTTTAAATATGTTATAATAATTTTTAAAATTATTATAACACACAGCTCCACATCCATGCATTTTTCCCTTGGATCCTGTGCTCCTAACATATAAGTGAGACCCAATTTAAGAAGCAGAGTAAAACCAGAGTTCCCAGAATTCTTACAGGAACTCATATATAGCAGAAATCTTTACTTGTGTCATTGCCATGGCTCTGCATCCTTTCAGTTAATCTCTGTATTTGAATTGATTGACTGCTTGATCCAGACACTTCATGTACAACATTTATCTGTCCTTTTTAAGGACTATTATTTTCTGTCTGTTTTCTAGGTTATTGGTCGGCCTGTGATGGTGCCTTACTGGGCCCTGGGGTTCCAGCTGTGTCGCTATGGATATGAGAATGACACTGAGATCTCCAACCTGTATGATGATATGGTGGCCGCTGAGATCCCCTATGTATGTATGGATTGTGATCAGTAGCTCTGTGATCTTGTAGCTAATTTAGGTGTCTCACTGTCTGGATTCAGTGTGGATTTTTGTTACTTTCAGAAGGAGCCAAAGATCCTTCTCCCATGGTATCACACCGAGTCTCAGCATGGAAACTTTGGCCCCACCTAGATCCTGTAACTCTTGTGGCTACAAGTTTCACAGTGATGAGCTGAATCCAGGGCCCTTTCTGTTGTATCATGCCCTCTTCCATTCTTTTATATGACTTCAAGGCATTTAGTTTAAAAGCCTTTGGTCCTGTAAAAATGGAAGATCCCCTAAACAATAGTTTTACTTAATGAAAATGTAGTGAGACTACTGTATGTGGAGATATTTCCACTGTTCCAGTGGGTCCTGCCGTGTGTTTCCAGAGAAGCATGTATGCAGACAAACCTGCGGACAAGAGGGACCCTATAATCAAAACTGACCCCATAGACCACTTTTATATTTAAATTTATTCTCTTCAATTTAGAATAAATAGAAATTATATCACAAAATGTAGCTTCTTAGTAAGAAAGCTGTGTGACTACTTACAAAATTGGATGAGATATTTACATACCAGTTTATATGAAATTTGTTTTTTTTTTTTTTTTTTTTTGTGGTACCAGGGATCAAACTCAGGACCTTGTACTTGCCAGGCAAGTACTTATTCCACTGAACTATCTCCCCAACTCTGCTTTTTTGTGTTGTAGTAGTTTTATGGCCCATGTTGTGTTATGATTGCATAGTTCACATTATCTTCTGTGAATAAAAATTATTAATACCAAGGGTAGCATTTTAGGGTAGATCGTCAAAACCACTCTTTATATATTGGCAATACACAAAGCACTTTCTCATAATGTATTCTTATTTTTCACTGTAGCAGCCCTTGTACATACACATTATAATATTTTATCCTCTTGCCCACTTAGAGATTTTTAGGTTAATGTTTTAGTTACACTTCTTATTGCTGAGTCAAAATACACGACACCCAAAGTTACAGAAGGACAGATTTATTTTGGCTCACAGTTGGAGAGGTTTCAGTCCATGGTCAACTGGCGGCAATGCAGGGTGGCATGGTAGTGGGACATCATAAAGAAGAAATGCTCCATGATGTGGCAGGCAGAAGGGAGCAGCAGCACACAGCAGAAGCAGCAGACACAAGAGCAGAGGAAGCCTCCTTTCCCCTTTTATCACATGCAGGCTACAGGCCTTTTGTTTGCTGCCACCCATACTCCAAGTGGATGTTCCCATTATTCACAGCCAGTTCTATGACAAACCACTTAGTGAACAAATTCAGGACCACACACACCCTTAATCCCAGTATCTCACACTCTAGAACACACTACCTCCAAAAAGCCTGACTTAGAATATACAAATTATACCAGTTTATGTATAAAAATTGGAAAAATTAGATGAAATTCCTGGATATATATATATAAAATGTCAGTTATAATTTGAAAGACCCAGTGAGAAACCTTTTATCTGCATCATTAGTATTGGATGGTTGCTCCCTTCTGGAACTGGATTGTACCCCCTCAGCTCCTCAGTTTCCCTGTGTCCTTTCCCAGGACGTGCAGTACTCAGACATTGACTACATGGAGCGGCAGCTGGACTTCACCCTCAGCCCCAAGTTCTCTGGGTTTCCAGCCCTGATCGATCGCATGAAGGCCGATGGGATGCGGGTCATCCTCATTCTGGTCAGTCCTTGTGTGAATGTGTGGGGTCTGCTTGGGGCCTTGGTGGATGTGGTTGAGAACTTGTGATGCTGTTTATTTCCATACTATGAGCACATCAGTTGAAGGTACTATATAAAAGTGTGTTTCCCAGGGTTCGCAGGAACTCTACAGTTTGAGGGAAGGCTAATGCCCTACCTTTCTCTTGAAAAGCTCTTCTTTCTGCCCTTTGTCATTCCCTGGCTGTGGTTTTCTCATCTGACTTGTGCTTGGCTTTCAGGACCCAGCCATTTCTGGCAATGAGACCCAGCCCTACCCTGCCTTCACTCATGGTGTGGATAATGATGTGTTCATCAAGTATCCCAACGATGGAGGCATTGTCTGGGGAAAGGTATGAGCAAAGGGTGGTCCGCCAAGCCCCAGCCTCCAGGAGCTTCTTACACTCTGTTGGTGTGCTTATGTATTTTGTTTTTTGACCTTTTTTCATACCTCTCTTTTTTAATCACTATTTTTGACACAGCTAAGGAGTTTTGTGGAACCCACCTTTCTTTAAACAAATTGCATACGACAATCAAAGTATTATTAACTCTTGGCCATGGTTTATATTTTCTTGGTAACTCATAAAATGTTAAGTTGTGTGTTCAGTGCTCTTAAACATCTGTCTTTCCACAGGTCTGGCCTGATTATCCTGATGTTGTTGTTAACAGCTCTCTAGACTGGGACCTTCAAGTGGAGGTAAATGCTCTTTGTGGGTGCTGGGTGGGATCATGGCTGTCAGAGCGGAACAATACTACCGAGCATATTGGTCCTGTCATACAGTCTGAGCAAGGGAAGGGAGACAACTTTTATGTACTTGGTATCAGTTGTGGTCAACTGCTTTACATGCAGGAATAATTCTCTTCTGGTGACAAGGGACATTTAAGCCACAGAGCATTAAAATCCTAATCTGGGATTGTAGGTGATAGTGATGATTTTTAACTCAAAGCTGTCAGACTCCAAAGACTGGTGCAGTTTCCACTTACTGAAACCTCCAAACAGTGCTTTCTTTGCTCTGAGTTCTTGAACTCCCTGTGGTTGTTGTCTCATGGGTCTCTCTGAAGTATTTTATATCTTTTTTTTTTGTTGTTGTTGATTTGTGTCTCTTTCCTGTTCATTGTCCTTTCATGGACAGGCTTCTCCATCTTGCCTTCTACACCCATCCTATTTGTGGTCTCTCATATTGCTTTTGCCTGTCATTTTCTAGCAATACAATTGAAAACTTCCTCTCTGATGGTAATGGGTCCTTCTCTAGTGGATCCAGGTATTCCCTGTTTTTTGACCTATATCCCTTGCCCCTCCCTGCCTCCCACCCATCCACTGCTGATTCCTTAGGAATTTGTTGATTCAGTAAATACGTAGTTTCTTACTAGTCCTGGAATCTTGAGCCCCTTCCTCTGGTCATGATGTATGCCAGCTGAACCAATGTCACCTTTCTGATTTGTTAACAGTTCTAATAATGCCTATGAGCAGGGATCACTCATCAGGGATGGAGTCTGTTTGAAAAATAAACATACTAATTTTAGCTCTTCTTCTACAGTGATTATTCTTTCTTAGAAGGAAATGTAGCAGGGCATGTGTAGCCTGCACAACCTCATGGTGGAGCTAGAATGTCAGAGCAAAGGCCTCTTTCCTGCTACCCTTTTTATTATGTCATTTCAGTGAATCCATGTGACATTTCATGGGCGGTGAGCAAGAGTACACAGAGCTCTGATTGCAGGAAATTCTTCGTAAGGAATTATTTTGCTTTCAGTGCCAATTATTAGACACACTTAACTAGGGGGACATATAAAATTTTAGCATAAAGTATAATTACAATTATTTGTAGTGTTAAGACACATATGATCCACATGACAAGCCTGGTGGAGATATGGTTATTGCTGATTTGGTGATGCAGAAGATAGTACAAAGCAAAAGAAAATAAAAGAGTCAGGAAAAGGACTAATATATCAAGTCAACTTCTGAGCACAGACCTTGGATATTTAATTCGGTAATTCTGAAGTGGGGCCCAGGAATTTCATTTTGGGAGTGTGCACTGGATTGTGATACATATTCCTGGGGTCAGTCATGTAGGTGCACAGGTCCTTGGTTTAAGACTGGCAAAAGTAAAAGGAGTCACAAAAAGGCAACAAAGTGATCAATGTAAAAGAAAGAGTCATAGCCCATTAGAGAATGAAGAACATTTTTTATTACAAGTATATAGTCACCAAAGCAGAAATTAGTGAGGTTAGTAAACCTTGGGTGGCTTAATTTTCTACTTGTACTTCAAAAGGAATACAATTCTGACTCTGATAAAGCTGATAATGACTGTTCATTTTAATCTTCCACCACACCCATTGTTTGTGACCTTGCTTGATTTAGAATAGTTGTCTTTGTGTAGTTCTATGCTTTTTCCTTGCATTTCCCAACCCAAAGCATCCTAAGATTCCCAGTCATGTGGCCCCTTGCCGTCTCACTGAGAGTCAGATTTATGCATAGAGATCTGTATCTGTCTTCTCCTATGTGTCCTTGTTCTGTCTTTTGTCTAGACACATCAGATCCTACTTCATTTTTAGCTATTGAAGAATCAGTCTTTCTCTTCTGTTCCCCAGAGAATTTATAAATATTTTCTGCTGCTAAGTTGTGAGACTCCACAGTCAAATATTAATTATTATCATTTATTCTGTCACATGCTGAGCTAATTAGTAGAAGGAATATAAGCACCCATCATGAGTATGTTAGAAAAAGTCCTTACTCTCAAAAATCTTACAGTATACTATAGGAGTGATACCTTGGATCCATTTTTTATGTTAAAATGATGACAGTGCTCTTACTATTTTAGAGACAATAAAGAGGAGAGACTAAAGCTTCCTTTTTGTCTTCTCCCACTTAAACACAGCTACCCTTCTCTGTAGTTCTAAAAAATCACAGGGAATATGCATGCATACTAGTCTAAAACTGAGAAATTTAGTCTTACCCTGCCTCTTTTTCTCCATGAGAATATTGCTTCTGCATTCCTTTCTGATTGGAACAGTGCCATCTTCTACCTAGAGTCCTGCCCTAGCTCCTGCCTTATCTGAGCTGAACTTAGGAGGTGGCAGACAGAAGTTGAGGATTGAGTATTTCAGGCATGCCATAGTGAGCTCAGATTATTGATTTTTACCATTCATAGTGATATTAAGGAAAACCAGTCTGTGCATGTTTTCTAGATGTTGGAAATTTTGTAATTTGTGGTGATTTCTTTTCTTTGCACTCAATGATTTTCTAATAAGAACAGTATATTATAGAGGCCAGTTGAGATTATCCTTCACTATCTCCTGCCAGTTAGAACAAGTCTTCCCATGAGTTAAGTTCTTAGTGTCTGTTTGCTGTCTGATCCGTTCCTTTGGCACAAATGGGTTATATTCTGTTCTTATAGCAATACCGAGCATACGTGGCCTTCCCAGACTTTTTCCGTAACTCAACTGTCCTGTGGTGGAAGAGAGAAATTCAAGAGCTCTACAACAACACAGAGAGTCCAGAGAAGAGCTTGAGGTTTGACGGCATGTGGATTGTAAGTGTCTGTTTGTGTTTCTGTGTGTGTATATGTGCATAGATGTGTCTATTCTCTTAGCATGTAAATCATTGATCTAGATAAGAGAATAATAGCTATCCAGGCAAAGTGTTGCACATATCAGAATGCCCTTGCCCAGTGAAGAGTGAAGCAGCTTTGATACCCTTCAAACTTTGTGCCTTGCCCAAGATTTCTGTTTTCAAAAGTATGAGGTGATTCCTAGAATTTTATTACAAAATTGCTTTTTCTGAGAGAGATTTGAAAATCCTAGTCACACAGTAGAGGTTAATTGAATTTTCTAGAAGTTCCTACCAGGAATGTTTGAGCCTCCTTGGGCCAAGTTTTACAGGGCTTATGTGATGCTGAATAATTCAGTTACTGCAGTATTTCCCAGGTTCTGAATGGACAAGACACAGTTATCTTTAAAAGTAAGCTGTGCCTGTGTTTGACATTTGTAGGACATGAATGAGCCAGCGAGCTTTGTGAACGGAGCTGTCCCTTCAGGTTGCACAGATGCTTCTCTGAACCGCCCTCCCTACATGCCACGTAAGCACCCTTGGCCTCCCCAAGCTGTGGACCCCTGGAGTTAGAAGGAGGTAGACTGCTGCAAGGGTCCAGGGATTCACCCTGCCCCCTTAGGGCATGTCTTTGTGGCTTCTGTGTTGTTAGGCACCAGAGGCAAGTGTGTTTTAAAGACTTTTTCCAACTCCGTGGGTGCACATTTCTGGACCTCTTGGGTGATTCTATGAAATTTGTGTAGAAAACACTTAGCTGTAATAATATCTCCAAAGGATTTTCACACATTTTTTGAATCTCTATGGAACTCCTTTGGATGGAGATAGGTTCTCTTCATGTAGTTCCATGTTTTCTACTTCCATTTTCTAATGTAAGGTTGCCCCATATTCTCAGTGTTTAGCATAATTCTTTCTCACTCATCTGAAAGACAGATTTATGGATGCAGATCTACTCCTTTTTTAGTAATACTTTACGATTGGGGCTTCCTTTTGCTAGTAATGGGTATGAAGTAGTGGCATTTCCTTCTCTTATGGACTTTGCAGTTGTGCCTGTATCTTGCCCCCTAAAAACTAATCCTTCTATGAATTTTGTGACCTTCCATACTTTATGTGAAGTTCTGAATCTCAGCTTTCTATAAAGAGGCAGATAACGTTTTCTCATAGACCTACATGAAATAATTTACAGATTAAACAGATGAGATGTTCCATGTTATGAAATAAGTGTTTTAGAACCTGAGTTCTCACAGAAACCTCTACTTTTCCAGTTAATTTATTATTGGAAACAACTGCACATACTATTTTAGCTCAGAGATAAGCACTGCTTACTGGTCTTCAGCTGGATAAAAAAGAACCATGCAGAGGTCAAGTTGGTCTCCAGACCCAGAGTTCAGTCCTTGAACAAGGCCTTGGGATTGCTTTCACATTCCTATTTCTTCCCCTCAGATCTGGAGGCCAGGGACAGGGGCCTGAGCAGCAAGACCCTGTGCATGGAGAGTGAGCAGATCCTTCCAGATGGCTCCAGAGTGCGTCACTATGACGTGCACAGCCTGTACGGGTGGTCCCAGACCCGGCCTACCTATGAGTGAGTCACTCTTTTAATTTTCCAGCTGTCGCAGACCATAGCCACATTGGGTGAGGGGCATGGGTCCCCTATTTTTCCTTCTGTTCACCATTCTGAGGGTTAAGAGGAATTTACATATAATTTCTGGTCAATTTAAACAGACGCTTCTTAGTCATATAGCCAGGTTCTATGTTTACAACTCATAGGAGTGATTTAAATAAAAAGTGATCCCATCATAGAAAAGCTAG